GAAATATTCCGCTATTAGCATTAGGGTCCGGTGTTAACAGCAGGAGATCAAGTCTCTTAGCCCTTGTGAGCAAGCAATTCTTTGTTCCAGGTATTCATATAGTCGCTCAGATTACGGCAGCGGTGAACCGCGCGCATAATACGATTAGACTTTGTTCCAATCAATTTGTGGTAATGGGGCTTCCAATGTTTAACGGTGTGGGTAAGAACCTTACTGCCATTAACAAAGTCCCATACCGGATTGTACTCGATATGATATACCAATGGTGAACGGGTTGTATCTCCCTTTGCTCTGTCAACAACAGAGACCGCTCTTTGACTATGATAAGTCACCATTTTGAATGCTCGCCTTAACCATCTAACCGGGTAGCCTCGTCGGCGTAAGCGTTTCCAGAACAGTTGTGCAACCCTTAGGTAGTCACTGTAGGAAGAGCTAATCCGAATATAGCGTGTGAGTTCGCCTTTGATAAAGGCAAGCTTAACACTCTCAGGGTGGTAAGATGACCAAGGGATGTATTGATAGGCGTTGAGTGGCTTCTGGTACACTTTCGTATGAAGAGTGACTTTGCCAGGTGTAACAGTGTCCTTCCTTAGGTAAAGGTGTATGTCCAGGAAGGGAATCGCCCTGTCACTAATCTCAGCATCAAACTGAAGCTTAGGGTGTAAGGCATTAAGGTGTTCAACAACCTTAAGTGCCTTTTCCTTAGAGCCATGTACTATTGCTAGTACATCGTCGATGTAACGACCATAATACAAAAGGTTATCCAAGTAGGGTATCTTGAACTGATCCTCAAAAGCGGCTACAAATAGGTTTGCATAGGTAGGAGCCATGCTAGTGCCCATTGCAGTACCATCAGTCTGATGATACACTTGGTCTTGGAAAGAGAGGTAGTTGTTTTCCAATACAAAGGAGGTAGCTTCACCTATGAAGTTACCGATATCTTTGCTTTGGTAATGTTCGCGCCCTAACCAATTCATAATGTCAATACCTTCGGTAGTAGGAAGGTTAGTATACATGGATTGGATGTCCGCTGTAATCAACCATATCTCCTCATGAAGAGGGAGCTGAAGCTTGGCAAGTTCTCTAAGGAGGTGCTTAGAGTCCCTGAGAATCCAGGAATAGCTCCTGACCAATGGTTGTAAAAGGGAGTCAATGTAACGCGATAGGTTGCTTGTAATCCAAGCATAGGATGGGACTATCGGCCTGCCTTTTAGCGGAGTCTTATGTACCTTGGGTAAGTGGTGGAAAGCAGGCAAGATTATGTCTGCTATCAATGGGTACTTAAGGAACTTTGTAAGGCCTCTCTTGCCAGTAAGGAGTTTATTGACATCATTACTACGGGTAAGCCAGTAGGAAATAAACTCTTTCCTATAGTCTGCCAATTGGTGTAGTTTGTCAATATACTCTACTGTATGCACGACTTTGTAAGTAGAAGTATCACTGAGTTGGCGTATGCCTTCGTCAATGTACCATTGCTTAGGGAGTATTATTAAACCGAGATTCTTATCAGCAGGTTTGACTAAGTAGTCATTCTCCTTAAGAAACTCCCTGAGGGTGGTAATAGTATTCCTGCTTATATTCGCCTTAATAAGGCCCTTAGGCCCTTGTTTAGCCGCTTCTAAGGCTTCCTCTAATGAGTGGCGGCCTATATTCAGACCATATTCAATAGAGTGATCTGCGTTAGGGTTAGGGTTAGGGTTAGGGT